CCAAAAAGCGTCCCTTTAGGTCAGACGCGGTTTTAGACCGGCTAGAGAACAGCGATAGTAAATCAGAACCACTTGCAGAATTGAGTGATAATGATTGGTGGGGGAAATTCCTCATCAGACACTGAAAACGATTCTGCGACTGAGCTCAGCGATGTGCGAACTTGGCGCTCTATTTCACATTTCAGTGTTTTTGGTTTGATTATATTATTGAATTAAATTTATTATTATTATAGTATTATTTTTTATGATTATTTATTAAATTATAAATTTATGTTATTGTGTTTCAAATTTTATCCTCCCCGGGATGTTTACTAGACTCTTGTTCGGACAGATTTCAGTGAGTTATTCCTAAGAATTACAGCCTACAATAAAGAAAAAATACATATTTCCATTGAAAATAATGTACCGCTTTGAGCACAGAAATACTGACATAATCAGACCGCTAGGGAGGTTAAAAACTGCACCAAAATCACTTCTCAGAGGAGTTTGAGGCATTTTCCATTGATTTCAATGGAAGGAGTAATTTTTGGGGCTCCGGGTGGTTTTACTCTGCCATGGAAGCGCAATGCCACAGTGTGAAGACATACATAGGCAAGCATTTTTTTCTATTATTATTATTATTATGCAAAAACGCATCAAAACCTCAGTGTGAAAGTAGCCAAAGTCTTAAATAAATGCTCCTAACTTTTTTTTTTTTTCCTAGCTTTTTTTTTTTTCCCCCCTACATGTACTATAAAGATGCTAACGCTCAAAAAAAAAAAACCTTTCAATCGCATTTTTTTTTTTAAAACTTAAGAAACCTGCTAGTGTGCATGGCCCCGTAAGGTTCAACAAATGGAAGAGCGAAAAGATTTTGCTGGGATTGCCCACTGTAAATGTTTAGGTGGGTGGAAGCGGTGTTGGTCCGGGGAAGTGGCAGCGCAGTGAGCGGTGCGGTCCGGGTGGGCCACGCGGCAATCCTGTATTTAACACTCAGCACTCTGGTGTGCCCCCTGAAGGCTCCAGCCCACGCAGCGACCTACATTTCCTGCACACGATGTGCGTTTATTAATGAACATACGGTGTAATCTCCCAGGTCTCCCCAGCGCAGCTGAAATGCAGATATTTAGGTCTGGACTTCTGAGGATTCTCAGTGGAGGGAGCAGAAACGCTGACAACCCCCCCCCCCCCCACGCACACACACAGTAGGACAAGACAAGCTGCGAATAACTGGGGCGCGATAAATAGCAGCACCGAGGTCCGTCCGCCACCTGAGGGCAGAACGGAATGAAGAGCGCAATCGAAGAAATCAAAGTCCAGTTCCAGAAATGCAATGTGAGATAACGGCGGGTTTAATTAGATTCATACATACTAGGGATGATTTAGACAGGATCCAATTAACCTGCCAGCATGTCTTTGGAGTGTGGGAGGAAACCGGAGTACCTGGAGGAAACCCACGCAGGCACAGGGAGAACATGCAAACTCCAGGCAGGTGGTGCCATGGTTGGGATTTGAACCAACGACCCGAGTACTGCCAGGTGGAAGTGCTAACCATTTAGCCACTGTGCTGCCCCGAAAGAAGATCATTCCTGTATCAGAGCTCGGGACCCCCCCCCCCCCCCCCCCCCCTTCAGGGCCATCAACCCCGACCTGGAGACCCACTCTTCCTTCATGCACTTTTAATGGTTGCAGTGAAGACTAATTAAAGAGGTCATGAATAAATTCCTAACAGTCCAATATATGGCCCTGGGGCCTAACCTGCGGCCCTTGGACCTCAGCAGTCTGCAGTGGGAACATTGATTAGGATTAATAGCATTGATCTCCACTGGTCTCATGTGACCCGTCCCCGGCTTCGTATCGTCTTCTGCAGCATATCCTCGCCGCACTCTCTGACCAGATTTCTTGTATTAGGTCTGCAGGTTCTAACAGTCCTCCCAAGTATTACATACATTCAATATTCTGTGTGGCCCCTTGGTGAGGTCGGGGTCCGCATTTGAGGCCCCTATAGCTCACAGAGAGAGAGAGAGATATGATAGAAAATATAGTTTTTTTTTTTTTTTTTTTTTGGGGGGGGGGGGTAGAAAAGCTCCACCTTTTTTCACTAATAAGTAGACCATGAGCTCCAGTCAGTGACTTTGCCTAGGCTGAGATGATGTAATCAGTCTGCTGCAGGCAGGATGAAACATTTCCCCAGTCTCCCCCAGTGGTCAGACTGTATATTGATAAAAGGCAAGAGGTGAAGCAAGGGGCTAAACTGAGTCAAACATTTGCAAACACATCCAAGAACTGCACAGACACTGGGATTTATATGGCCATGTCCTCTATGAAGCTGGCATCCCAGTTCAGGAAGTAGAGCCTGAGTGATGCCTGAACAAAGATGGTGTTGTCCTTCTGGTGAGAAAAGATTAAAGTGGTTGTAAAAGTCGTTTGTTTTTTTTTTTAAATACTAAACCTGGTTTATAGTTAGCTGCTCTATGCAATGGAACAGCCCTGAACCTCCTCTTTTTGCCCCCCCCCCCCCACCGGCGCTCCTGGCTCCTCTTCTGTCTAGTGCCCCCATAGGAAGCTGCTTCCTATGGGGGCACTTGTGCGCAGGGGCGGACTGACCATTTAGAAACTCAGGCACTGCCCAAGGGCCCGGTCAGTAGGGGGCCCCATGAGATGCCCCTGGTACCTTTTTCATAGGCTTTTTTGAGTTTGGGCAAGGACACAGGAGCCCCATGATCCCCTATTGCCCGGGGGCCCCATGAGTTGGCAGTCCGCCCCTGCTTGTGCGTGCTCGCTCCCAAGCCCTGCTGCTTGCATCGATTGACACAGACAGTGGGACTTGGCCCCACCCCTGCTCCCTCATGACTGGCTTTGAGTGACAGCAGCGGGAGCCAATGCCTCCCAGTGCCCCAGCAAAGCCTGTGAGACCCATAACTAAATGGAGAGAAGAGCTGCAGATGTGCACAACGCTGGATCAAATGAGGGCTCAGGTTAGCATTGGGGGGGGGGGGGGGGAATACTGATGTCTAAACATTTTTTTTTTCACCTTAATGCAGGGAATGGCTTTATAACCACTATAAGGTCTTGTCGGGGAATACTTTGATCTCTACCTGAAGTGTTCCATTTAGGGCTCATTCACATCATGGTGCAGAGGTTGTTCTGCAAGGGCACAGAAATCACTTCTCTATGGGATCTGTTCACGCCACAATCGTATCACATGCAGATTTTTTTTTTCTGCATAGGAATCTGGAACATGTATGAAACTCATTGCAGTGCACATAGAAACTGATGTCTCTGCAAGTTACATAGTTAGTCTGGCTGGAAAAAGGCAAAAGTCCATCCAGTTCAACCATTAACAAAAACAGTTATAATCCTACACCCACAGTTGATCCAGAGGAAGGCAAAAAAAAACCCAGCAAAGCACAATCCAATTTTCTCCTGCAGGGAAAAAAATTCCTTCCTGATCCCCCGAGAGGCAATCGGATATTCCCGGGATCAACTTTCCCTATAAATGTTCTATCCAGTTATATTCTGTGTATCCAAGAAAGAATCCAGGACTTTCCTACAGCAATCCACTGAGCTGGCCACAACCACCTCTGGGGGAGTCTATTCTATAAGCGAAATCTGCTCATCAGTTTCCATCAGTTTTTCTGCACGTATGGCGCAAACGAGGCCTTTAAAGCGGAGTTCCACTCACCCTGTCAAAAAATAAAAGTCAGCAGCTACAAAAACTGTAGCTGCTGACTTTTAAAAAAACAGCCACTTACCTGTCCCTCGGTCCCGTGGTGCCCCCCCCCCGCAGCCCGTTTCACTGGCCATCCTTGGATTCCAGGAGGGCCGGCCTCTTCAGTGTGGGCACCTGGTTGTAACTGCTTGCGGCTTCACAGTCGCGTACCCACCGCGCATGCGCGAGTAGCGCTGCGCTTCATGAATGGTCCTGTAGTCTTCTGGGACCTGTCACGTGTCCCAGAAGACTATGGGGAGGGGGTGAGGACACCTTCTGTTTCCGATTGCCTAGGTGATCCAACCGGAATTGGGAGCGGGTACCTGTCAAATCCGGGTACCCGCTCCCCCCCCCCATAGGTGCCAATCCTTAATGGGGAGCAGTCCTTAAAAACGGAACTTCCCCTTTTTGGGTGGAGCTCCGCTTTAAATAATACTTAAATAGCATGTACTGTATGCATTATCTGATGGTCGGTCCATTTCAAGGGAAAAAGATAAGTAGGCTTCTATTGTTGATTCTTTCGCTAAATAAATAAAAAATAAATAAAGAATTCATTGGACTACTACTTACTTTCCATGCCCCTGACGACGTCATTTGTGATGAAACTCGTTGGGTGGAGTCTGTGCTCCTGACGTCATCATGCTGTTTCCGATTACCAGGAAGTTGATTGGTTCCCGGGACCAATGGTCTTATTTTTGTACACAGCGTTCATTTGTCTACTTAATTGTGAGTGGAATTCAACATATTTAATAATAATTGTCCATATGGTTTTATGTGATGTTTGCTCTCCCGTTTCTTCCTTTACGGTCTAATTGAATGCACATATCGGAGAGACATATGATGGGGATAGCCTGAAGGGATCCTTTCTGCTCATTAGGATGGTCCAGCATCTTTCATCTGCTTGAGAGTTATGGTGGATACTCATCTTCAGGCCATTACATTCATGCATTTATGACTCTTCCTAGTTGAAGGGTCCACATGTAAGAGTCCCGCCAATACTTGGTGGTGGAGCACTTGGTTTATTTGAAGACACGTCGTGTTCAATTTCCACAATAACAGAATGTTGGGACTTTATTCAACCTTTCCAAAACTGAGCTCCTAGTATTCCCCCCAGCCCGTGCCCCCCCCCCCCGACTTCTCCATCAAGATCAACAACACTACCATCAGTCCCACCCTTCACGCCAGGGTACTAGGTGTAATCCTAGACTCCCATCTGGCCTTTCAGCCCCAGGTCCAATCACTGACAAACTCACGTAGACTTCACCTCCGCAACATCTCCAAGATATGACCATTCCTAACCCCGGAAACTACTAAGCAACTCATTCACTCCCTTATTATATCCCGCCTTGACTATTGTAACTCCCTCCTCACTGGCCGACCTCACCGCAGACTATCCCCACTCCAGTCTATCATGAACACTTGCCAGACTCATTCACCTTACTAACTGTTCTGTATCTGCCACTCCTCTCTACCAATCCCTCCACTGGCCTCCACTCAGTGTCCTCCACCCCTCTCTGCCAATCCCTCCACTGGCATCCACTCAGTGTCCCTCCACCCCACTCTGCCAATCCCTCCACTGGCCTCCACTCAGTGTCCTCCACCCCTCTCTGCCAATCCTCCACTGGCCCTCCATTCAGTGCCCTCCATCCCTCTCTGCCAATCCCTCCACTGGCCTCCATTCAGTGCCCTCCACCCCTCTCTGCCAATCCCTGCACTGGCCTCCACTCAGTGTCCTCCACCCCTCTCTGCCAATCCCTCCACTGGCCTCCACTCAGTGTCCTCCACCCCTCTCTGCCAATTCCTCCACTGGCCTCCACTCAGTGTCCTCCACCCCTCTCTGCCAATCCCTCCACTGGCTTCCGATTGCCCAACGGATAAAATTCAAAACACTAACACTGACGTACAAAGCCGTTCATAACACTGCCCCAAACTACGTCACCGATCTTGTCTCTAAATACCACCCAAACTGTACTCTCCACTCCTCGCACCACCTCCTACTCTATAGCTCCTTTTATCTCCTCATCCCATGCTCATCTCCAGGATTTCTCAAGGGCTTCACCCATCCTCTGGAACTCTCTACCCCCAATCTATCAGGCTATCGCCTACTCTGCTCACTTTTAGGCGCACTCTGAAAACCCATCTCTTCAGGGAAGCCTACCCCAACTCCAGCTAATATTGGAATCCTCTACTCTTCCTACCACTCCATCGCCCACAGTTACTACCTCTTGTACCACTACCCCCTCCCTCTTAGATTGTAAGCTCCAAGGAAATGGGTCCTCTATTCCCTCTTGTATTGAACTGTATTGTTACTGTACTGTCTCCCTCCATAATGTAAAGCGCTGAGCAAACTGTCAGCGCTATATACGTCCTGTATAATAATAATCACGATTTTTCTATTGGGAATTGATTATTTGTTGCCATTTTCATTGATACAATTTTCATTATTTATGATTTATCGTGATAACCAAGATGGTGTAAGAGCGGCAATTTATTCATGCCTATTTGTACACAAATTGATCTGATTGTTTTGCCAGCAGCTTTTTTTTTTATTTCATTTTTCACAACGTTTTTGCCACTTTCTGCTCTACTACTACTTAAACACATTTCTCCAACTGTACAGGAACTGCAAGAACCAGCACTCCCTGCTAATCCTGGGCAGAATTTATGCCTGTAACTGACAATCATCCACAACTATGAAGGCTACATGGACTGAAAACATACGAGAGATCTGCCGTCTACTGGAAGAAAAACAAAAACAGCAAGTCGGCAGAGAAGGATGCGTATTTTTCAGGCAGTTTGGAGAACGGCAAATGATGTGAAGGTTTCATTCTCATTGGCAAACGCCTTCATCTGCACGCGGCTTATAAATGATGTGACATCCCGGAGGTGCCAAGTACAACGAGGAAGACTTCAAGGAACGCTCCCGGAAATGGATGTAAATAATCCTCTGAAAGGAGAGGGGGCTTCTGGGTAAATAACATCTTTACATTTCAGGTCTGATACATTTCCCACCTGCTGGATTTTATTTTTAATGCGTACAATGATCTTCAGACAATTATAAAGAAAAATGTGGAGGCTGCCATTGCTCTCTTCTAAAAATGCCAATTTCCCAGTTATGATGGTGCTGTCGTGTCAATGCTTTGAGCCATTGACTCAAAAAAACCAAAACAAAAATTGAACCACTCACTGCAATCACACCTTCAATCTGGAGCCGTCTCCGTAGTACCTGTTCCCTGGCACAAGATGTCCTCCAGGTTAAGTAACCTGGCAGGCAGAGTGCAAGGTATCATGATCATCTCCTAAGAGGTCTGCAGCGGGGAAGTGACGTCATCAAGGGAGAAGAGTAAGAAGAAAGAGGACCCGGCATTGGGCACACATCCTGGGGTGGGGCATTGAAACAAACTTGTACTTTACTGGAGCCACAGTACTGGCCTTTGCAGAGCCCCAGAAATGTTCTGTCCAAGTGTCACTTATACAGAGTTGTGCATTTTCTTGTGCTCCCCCATACCACAGCCTTCCGGCCTGGTGGTTGGCCACTCATGCACCATGGGGAGAGTATGAGACATCAACAAGACATCTCCCATGCCTGGAACATACAGGGTCATTTTTCAAGACTTGTGGTTCTTGGGGGTGCTCCTTTCCGCTGATTGCAAAATGTACAAGAAGGTGTTGCCAGGCACAACAGAAAGGAAATAGAATTCTGAGGTGCATCACAGCAGGGGATAGGAGGTCCTGATTCCTCTATATAGGAGGGGTCACCGGCAGGAGGATGGAGGTCCTGATTCCTCTATATAGATCTTTATATCACTAGAGGGATCACCAGCAGGAGGAAGGAGGTCCTGATTCCTCTATATAGATCTTTATATCACTAGAGGGGTCACCGGCAGGAGGAAGGAGGTCCTGATTCCTCTATATAGATCTTTATATCACTAGAGGGGTCACCGGCAGGAGGAAGGAGGTCCTGATTCCTCTATATAGATCTTTATATCACTAGAGGGGTCACCGGCAGGAGGATGGAGGTCCTGATTCCTCTATATAGATCTTTATATCACTAGAGGGATCACCGGCAGGAGGAAGGAGGTCCTGATTCCCTCTATATAGATCTTTATATCACTAGAGGGGTCACCAGCAGGAGGATGGAGGTCCTGATTCCTCTATATATCACTAGAGGGGTCACCGGCAGGAGGTCCCGATTCCTCTATGTAGATCTTTAGATTACTAGAGAGGTCACCGGCAGGAGGAAGGAGGTCCTGATTCCTCTATATAGATCTTTATATCACTAGAAGGGTCACCAGCAGGAGGAAGGAGGTCCTGATTCCTCTATATAGATCTTTATGTCACTAGAGGGGTCACCGGCAGGAGGAAGGAGGTCCTGATTCCTCTATATAGATCTTTATATCACTAGAGGGGTCACCGGCAGGAGGAACGAGGTCCCGATTCCTCTATATAGATCTTTATATCACTAGAGGGGTCACCGGCAGGAGGAAGGAGGTCCTGATTCCTCTATATAGATCCTATCACTAGAGGGGTCACCAACAGGAGGAAGGAGGTCCCGATTCCTCTATATAGATCCTATCACTAGAGGGGTCACCGGCAGGAGGAAGGAGGTCCCGATTCCTCTATATAGATCCTATCACTAGAGGGGTCACCGGCAGGAGGAAGGAGGTCCCGATTCCTCTATATAGATCTTTCTATCACTAGAGGGGTCACCAGAGGGAGGAAGGAGGTCCCGATTCCTCTATATAGATCTTTATATCACTAGAGGGGTCACCGGCAGGAGGAAGGAGGTCCCGATTCCTCTATATAGATCTTTATATCACTAGAGGGGTCACCGGCAGGAGGAAGGAGGTTCTGATTCCTCTATATAGATCTTTATATCACTAGAGGGGTGACCAGCAGGAGGGAGGAGGTCCCGTATATGAAGACTTGAGTTGATGGTCAATACCCATAGCAGGCAATCGAGTATCTCAAGTAGCCTCTCAACGTTTTTAACCCCTAAGGAGCTGTTGCTATCATTAATGCGAACACTAATTCATTGGAATTCAGTGGGAAAATGCCCTTTACATCAGTGCCCAGTAGGAAGAATATCTTTACAGTAGCAGCCCAAATGCCCTCCTTACAAATAGCTAAAAAGATCCACGACTCCGCCATGCGATATTGGCCCTGGGACTATGCAGGCATCATGAAAGGGGAGGTCAAGTAGCCACAGCTCACTCAAAGAACCCTTGGCAACCTCTGAAGGAACACAAGAGTTGAATGGATCCCTGGCTGAGAATGGTCGATCTACAGCCCTTCCCAGCCTTTTTAACATGGAGGAACCCTTGTAATAACTTCCAGGTCTTAAAAAGGGAACCCTTGCCAATAATTGCTAAATAAACAATTCGCAGTACAATAGCGTGGCATTCAATGAGCATTGGTTACTTTTCCCAAGAAGCAGAAGTTACTCATAGAACCCCAAGCAACCTCTAGAGCAGGGGTCTCCAAAACTTCGGCCCTTCAGGTGTTGAGGAACTGCAAGTCCCATGAGGCCTTGCAAGACTGAGCCACAGGCAAGACTCCCAGAGGCATGATGGGACTTTTAGTACTTCAACAGCTGGGAGAGCCACAGTTTTGAGACCCCTGCTCTAGAGGAACCCTGCTGGAGAAAGTCTACTGATCTACAGTAAATAAAAGGCTCCAGTCCTTTGGTGGGAAGTGTACAATGGAGACTCAAGAACTCTACAGTGCAGACCGTTACAGTACACTGTGCAGAACCCAAATTCTCTGGTAGCCATTGAACAATGCAAGACCCTCATCTCCAGAGGGCTATGGCCTCCTTGGCTTACAATGCAGAAATCACATTTACATTCTCCGCTGCCCATTTCATGCTGAAAATAGACAGATTTCTCTGCATCGTCACCACCCCATATACTGTATAATCTGAATCCAGCTGGATTTCTCCAACCTCCTCATCTGCATGACCAGACAGTGCTGGGACTCAGATTTAGTGCAGTCATAACAGTTCAGCTTCTTAGAAAGCTCTGTAATGGAGTGTGCGGCCTGCACGCCGCGGCTCTGTCATCCCGCAGAATGGAAAAAGGATTCCGATGACAGGCCGTCAACTCGCTGCCTCTGTGATAATTACTCGCCTGCCTGTCAAACACACTTCATGCTCAGTTTCTGGAAGCAGAGCATTCTGGGATGGTCCCGATTTCAGGAGAAGGTGCTGGATTTAGGTTTAAAGGGAACCGGTCTTGTGTGGTGTCATCTAAACTCAGACGTTCACCCAAATTACTAAAGTATTAAAGCAACTTTAACATGGAAGTCTCACTTCAGACATCTTCACTAAAATCATCTCTGATGGTCCTGCCATGAAGGTTCTCACTCAGGCACTTCCTAGTATAGGGTGACAACACTCTGTCCCTGTCTCCCAGTTGTGCTTCTGCATGGTCACCCGTCGCATGCATTTATGATGAAGACTACTAGTACTCATTTCATCACACAGGTATGGTCTGCTGTTGCCACCATCAGGTAACCCACCCCAAGAAATGCCATGCAGCCAACGCTCAGAGTGCATATAGAAGGGAAAATGGCTTCAAAAAAGCTGCAGGAGATCAGCAGCACTGAGATCGTAACAAAAATGGGGGAAAAGGTGAAAACAAGAATTTTATTTAATAAATAAAATGGTTTGTGGTACATGGTACAAAGAGCAAAGTAAATGTTGTTTAGTTATGGTTTCTGTCAAGGCT